TATATATATATATATACAGAAATGTAAATACATTTTCGCACATGTACCTATTATCTGTATATAGATACATTTTCGCCATGTATTCTATCTGTATTTAGATACATTTTGAAAGTATTTTATTCGTCACTGGTCGTACGTATGTGCATATATTGTACATTGTCGTAATCGAATAAAGGGTAGGGCAGTCTTTATAAATAAAGATATGCCCAAATTATCGAGCAGAATTATCTTAAGTTGAATTTCATCTTGAGTATGCGTTCACATTATTGAATTGGACCTCTGAAAAAGTTTAGCTTTTTTAAAAAAGCTCCGCTTGAAATTCAGCTCAAGGTTCAGTTCAATAATCTAGACGTATCTGAAGGATAATTTTTAAACAGAAACAAAGTAGAGTTAATTACATTGAAGGAAACATTTTTTTATCTATACCATATGTTGAAGAATAATTATTTTTTTGTTACTGTTATGAATTGTTTAAGAGAAAGAGCCTAAGTTATAACAGTATTAAATGCTTTTAAAAAATACTCTATTAAATATATCAAATTCTTCATATACGCATTTGTGTTAGTTATAATATTATAAATTATAACTCAGCAAAATCACTTTTATTGTTTTATGTCGATAGTTTAATTTAAATGTTCGATATTGTAAACGTCGATTGTATCGATTTAATCTTTTATACTTTGAGAAGATGGTATATATAGATCTGCGCAGATAAGGGGGCTCCGTACAATAAAAGGAAATAGCTAACAGAGAATAAGAATTTCAATCTATCAGAAATCATGTATTGTGGAATACACAGTTTCTGATAGATTGAAATTCTTATTCTCTGTTCCCTATTCTCTGTTTTTTTTATTATGGGGCGGAGTCCCTAAGCGCAATTAAAATTTGCAAGATAATAAATTTTAAATTCAAAATTATTAGCGATTATAATAACACTACAGATTATACTTCGAAACTCATGACATTATTTTATTTAAAATATTATTTATTTATTTTAAATATATATAGACAAATTTCGCCGACATTGGGAAAATCTATTGTCATTAAACTATTAGAGTGCGATATAAAATCAATACCAATATCAATATCAATATATTAAACTTAAAATTTGATAAAGCATTTACACAAAGCATTTATAGCGTAAAGTGTAGATCGCATCTTATATTAGAGTTCTAAAAAAAATCCTAAATAAGAGTCTAAGGGTGCTATTTTATTTGTGCGTTTTTATCGTACGACAAACATGTACAGAGATCCTCGGATCTCTATCTCATAGCCAATCAACAGGCTTGAAAAATTTATCGTGCGACAAAAACGCACAAATAAAATATCACCTTAAAAATATTGGAAAAAATATTTTTTTTTTCATAACCTACGCGTGTCGCATTGGCGACATAATGGCAGCTGTATAGATCGATGTGTTTATACACGTCTCTACCTAACTTGTAACCTGACTATCTGCGAGGACAATAGCGATCTCTGTATAATGCTACACAAATACTAATTATTTTCTGATTGGCCAATTGGGTCTAGACAGCACCCGAGTGGGAATCTGAACAAATAACAATCTATATATCGGAGCGGCAATCGTGCGATCGTCGTGATTTGATAACCACACGCAAGACGACGTAGCATACATGGCGTCTGCAGGCTTTCTTTGGTTATTTTCGATAGATATATTGTCGAAATTTGACATTGATGCTAAACAACCGTTCAACTACGAGAAATTCCAAACGCTCTGCGTCCAATTGTTTAGCGCAGATGAAGTGAAGGAGAATGAATGGAGGGTACAAGAGATCTTTAAGCTATTTGACGCAAATGCTGATAGTGTGCTGGTTAATGAAGAACTGTTCAGGTGATGTGTGCGCAACTTATCTAGTTTTTCTAAAAATTGATTGAATTTTATGTGGTTAAAAGAGGGGAGGGAATAGTTTATATTGTACATATAATTTTTAGCTCAGAAATAAGATTAAAAGATAAAAGAAGATCAAAAGGGAAGAAAAAATAAAAAGTAAAAAAAATAAGCGATTATTTTTTCCTTCCAACTTCAATAATGTACAGATGGAAATATCTGATTTAAAATAATTGAATTTCTGTTTTTTTTTTTCGTTATTATTTGTACTTTATTTATTTAATGAGATATTGAATTTTACATTAGATTATTTAATTCTAATTAATAATGTTTGACATTTTCTCTTATTATTTTTTAGGAAAATAATTTAGATACAAAGTCATGTCAATATATTTACTTATTTTTCTTATGTTTTATTTATAGATCCAATTTATAGATCCTGATTTATTACGAGAAGAAAAAATAAACCATAAATATTTGTTTAATAAATTAAGCCTTAACATTTACAGTTATATATCCAATCAGAAATAATAATGGAATCGACATTGAATCGATGTCAATTCGACATCAAAAGC